TCTTTTCACTTTTTTGAAAAATATACTATAACTTACTAATCTTAAAAAATACAAAGAATATTTAGAATTTTTTGAAAAAATTTTTAGATCATATTTAAAAAAAATACATACTTAGTAATGGTCTACATAGATAACTTACTTTGAATTGCATCTAACAAAACCTTTTTTACAAGCATTTTGTATACTAATTTTTCTTTTTACTAATTTACTAATATAAAGATTAAATCTTCAAAATCTGTATTAGTTACAAACTTTATAAACTCAAATAACTTTATACTTTTTAATAAAGAGCAACTAATAGCAACTAATAATAAAAACTTATATAAATACTTGAAAGCATAGTTTTCAACTAACAAAAAACTAATTTTAGTACAAAAGAAAATAATTACTAAAGTTGTAATTAATTTAAAAAAGTTACAATTTACTAATATAACAGAAAAATAAGCAATTTATATTATAAACAATGTTATTATTTTATAACTTCTTTACTAACTCTACTCTTTATTTTACACCCTAGCTCAAATAACCTTTCTTAATAAAATGTATATCCAATTAGTAAAATACAAAACAGAACTAATACAAGAAATTTTTAATTTATTTTTATAAAACTCTGACATCTATATATTAACAGATATAGCTCAAGCACAATCTTTAGTACTAGATTTAATATTTTAAAAAAACTTAAACCATTCTTATTTTGATTTTATTTTTTTGAAACTAACTTATAACAATTACAAGGTATCATATATAATTATACATTTATTCTACTATAATTTTTAATTTTTTTAATAACTCAAATAAATATACAAATTGTTCAAATGGTACTAACATTACATATACAAAATATACAAACTTTAAAGAATAGTAATAACTGGTTCTATTCAAAAAAGTTACTAGCACTTCTAAAAACCAAATACTAATATAATATTCTAGAGCCTCTTACTTTAAAGTAAAATTAAATAAATACAACATTTATTGTATTAAGCAATTTTTAAATACTACTAATACTAAACTCTTTATATAAAATTACTTTCATTACAATATTAAAAAAATACCAAGAAGCCAGTGTTTTTACTGATTTTATATAATATAAAACTTAATAACTACATCTACAAATATATCATTAATATTTTTATACTGCAATCTATATATATTAAAGAATTAAACTTCTATTAAAAAGGTTTGAATAATTACAAATAAGTTAATTTTTAAAAGAATTTATAATCCTTTTAATAAGAACTTAAAAACTCAATACTACATATTATTATCTAATAATATTCTAGTTGTTAGTAAAAGATATAACTTAAACAATACATTATACTATACCAAAAATAATTATTTTAATATAACAATACTTTTTGCAATCTCCAAGTATACTATAAAAAAAGAATTCATATTGACTAAAAGATTTTAAAAAAGCTCTAACTCTGATCTCACTAACAATATTATGAATTTACAACCAATTAGTGTATCCAATTCTAATCTGTTCTTTATACTTCTTTATAAATCACCAATATTATTCTAAAATGATTTAATAAAAACCAACTTTAATATAAAAACTATATCATTTTATAAATAAGTAAATAACAAAATATAAAAAATAAATAGGGTGTAATGACCTAGTAAAGTGAACAGGTTGTCAACCTCCAAGTGGCAGGTCTAGTGTTCAAATCTCATAAATAGTGAAATTTGAATAATTATAATTGTGTTATAATAACTATGTCTCATTGATTGATTAAATAGAAAAAAAAGATATGTAATTTTAGGTGCATCATCTCAAATAGAAGCTTGAAGCATCTATGCAAAATGTAATATTACATATATATAGAAAAATATTAAATAACCAATGTTGCATAAAACTTCAGTGCAAACTCACAATAAGATCACCAGATGCATAACTTTAAAATACTGAAGTACAGAAATCTACTTGAAAATTCTGAGTAAAGAGATAGCATGGACTTTCAACAGTATTACCAGACTATCAGAAGTTTCAAAAAGAATAACTAGAATTGAACAGATAATAATATATATAAAGAAGCATATACCAATCAGATTGCCAGAAATCATTGGAGAAAAAGAATCTTAGGATATCATATTGGATCATCTGAATTAGTAGTCTAAGAAATTTTATAGATTTATAGTAAGAGAAAAATGTTGAAAAAGAAAGGTATCAGGGTTCTAGTAAACTTTACAAAAGTATAGCAGTTTAATGGTTAGTACTGACTGCAAGTGATGATCTAGGCCAAAGCAGTACCAGGTCAGTTATAAGTATAGAATATAGAAAGCTCTGCTAAGTTTAGTATAAAGTTAAATATGACTTAGTGACCATAGTATATTTGCAGTAACCTTGCAGTTAAAGAGTAGAAGTGGATATAGGAACTAGAATGTTTAAATAGAAAACCCACAGGTGGGTTTTAGGTATGGCAACTAGTGTAGAACCTTTAGGCAGACTACTTAAAATAAACAATAACTAAAGTTGTATGAGTGGCTAGTTGTACACTCTTTCTATAATTACCTCTGTAGCTGTTATACACAATAGTTATATGTTGACTGATTAACAATAAATTCTGGATTGCAATTACTCACCTTAACATTAAAAAACAAAAAATATATAAAAAATAACTCTTAAATAGTAGTAAAATATTACTTTTAATACTTTTATCTAACTTTTAAATCTTTTAATAACTTTTAGTCATTCTATCTGAATATATTAATAACTATACTAAACTTCATACTTATTTCTTTAAGTCTTTATACCTTAATAAAAATATATACAAATAATTCATTCTTTGCTAATCTTATTAAATTTATAAATTTTATTCAACTATATAACTATTTGTTATTAAATAAACAATACTTTTTTTTTTAATACTAAAAGCTTTAATATATAATTATGTATTTACAATGATTTTTGACAAAGACCTTCAAATCCAAGAAATCTTAAATATTATTCTTTTATTAGACTTTGTATTTCAAAAGTTTTTATATAATTATTTTGTCCCAAAACTTCTTAGTGACCTTGCACCAATCTGGTTAAAACTACACTAAAACAAGTATATCAAATTACAAACTATTTAACATAGTTCAATCAATAATGGATTTTAATTTGACACACTTTTCAAAACAATATTAATTAGTTAATTAACTTTATAATATATATCATATAGAGAAAAACCTCTAATATTAATAACTGATTCAGTTTCTTCAATACTAAAAAACTTTAAAATCAAATTGATATCTAAAAATTTACCTTTTATTTCTTTCTTTATTAGAAAAATATTATATAAAACATTCAAACTACTTCTATTCAAAATATTATAATATTTTTAAAAGTATTATATATCTTTTAACATGTCTTTGAAACTATCTGAATCTTATAATATTAATAAAATATACAGTGCAAATCTCAAACAAGTTAAAATATCTTGTTATAATACAAATAATTCTATATAAATCTTTTTTACAACTATATTAATAAACAAATACCATTAGGACTAATAATCAATAATACTCTGACATTATTTAAAAAAAACAAATACAAACATAAAATACTCTTCTTATTCATCACAATATCATCTCTGTAATATATAAAAAATCTAACTTACTTCTAGAGTAATACAATATGAATCTGCTTTTTCAGTTCCATCACCATTACAACCATCAATATTAATCAAAACCACACCAATCTTACATTTCTTACTAAATAAAAAGATACAACACTATGTTATACATAAACAATCTTCCCTTCATTAGCTTATCAAAAACTAGAAGTTTACTGATCATTTTAGCAAAAAATAGACTAAGAGTAAATTAGTTCTTACTTCCATCTCCCCTAGTATAGTTTCTTCTTCATGTATCTCATATATATGTATAATTAATTAATTAATAAAAGAGATAGAGGATAGACCTCTCTAAAAAAAAAAAAAACACTTGCATAATTATGCTGTCATATATAATGCTTTATAATCAAAGATCCAAAGTTTACTACATTTGATTTATTACGTATAAGTCAATAGCTAACAGTTATTTTCTTAAAGTAAACCTGAATTCAGGGTTAGATAAAATAGAAATAATTGGCAGTAATTATAATGTTAATGAACTACTTACATATTTGAGTGACGAAAAACGAAAACCTGTAAATCATTTCACTTATTATTTGAAATGATTTACAGGTTTTTCCTTTTCGTCACTCATTTATAATATTTAATTAAAATTTTAATAATAAATGTTAGAGAAAAAATATTAACAATATAACAATAAATTTATTTAAATATTTAGATAGGTTTATTTTATATAGGTTTATTTTATATGAATAATATTAATACATAGAATTTCAAGGCTGAATTTATTTATTTATAAGTTCCAAAAGCCTGAATTCTAGAATTCTTTGGTATCTTTTAATAGTACTTGAATACAAACGAAAGACTACCGCTTAGTTTATTGCTTTTGTACATTTTTATATAAACCACATGCTGTGCTTAATAACCACACGCAAAATATTTTGATTCACTAACATGGTTCAGCCTTTTCCAAGTCTTAGAGGATTTAATTTTGGCGAGTTTTAATTCTTCCTAGAGGTTTCAGCTTTATCAGGGGTTTCGCCGTTTTTCCAGAGTTTCTTTCGCCATTTGCCAAAAAAAATTTCGCCTGCCAACACTAGTTACGGTATATTCGTCAATCATCCAGTTTCACCCTTTGAAAATATCGTATTTGAGTCAATTAATTTTCATATAAGTGGGTTATTATGGTATACAGTAAAGCCTCCATAAGTGCCCTCTCTTGGGGCCGAACTTTAACGATGTGCACTTAGATAACAATAAGAAAAAGTACGTCTATAGAGGTCATGTAAAGATTTGGGCCTAAATTTAAGCGTGCATTTAGAGAGGATGTGCAATTATAGAGGGTGCACTTATGGAGGTTTCACTTTACAATCTTTTGCCGATATTATAACATGTTATATTTTAAAGTAAAGTTATGTAATATAAAAATTTATAAAACTTCTATCGAGTAATTCTTAGAGGTTCATAATGTTCATTTTGCTTCCTCTCCTTAAAACCCCAAGCTTCATAGAACCAGTTCTTGTAGGTATTCTGCAAAGTTTGATTCCACATATGCTCTTTCTCAAGGTCAGTCCAACAATTTGGAACCATGTCCCTCTTTGTAATTAGGCCTATGGCCGTTGAATTCCGAATGACTCTGACTATTGGCAGTCCGTCTCTGTATTCTGAGTATCCATCCTTAATGGCATTTAACTTCTTAACATCCTTTATTTGATGAATCAAAATGGTCTCAATAAAAAAGTGAAGGTCAAGGTCTTCATCAAAGTCATGGATGGGATTTTGGCGGATGGACTCCCAACTTGGAAAGCCGACATGGTGCACGAAGTAATTCTTCTCCCTACCTATATGACATACCCATTGAGTCACTAGCCAGTCCTCATTGCCTTCGACATTTGATCTAACCCATTGTGATCCAACAATGTTTCTAACGAGGTCGCGGGAGAGAGTATATCCGGCACCTTATTTTGTATTTAACAAAAGTAGATCAAAATATGCATAAAACGTTGATGTAGATCAAAAAATGTGCATGAAACGTTGATGATAAAGAAAAATAAAAAAAAAACACACCTCCTATAAACCCGTATGTTCCATTATTATAATCTATAGCATTGCCATAGTATGCACGTTCTCTCGGTAAGTCTTGGAGGTCACGGTAATAGTGAATAAGATGGAGGAAAGCGTCATCGTCCAATTTGAGCATGTAATTATCCTCCCTCTAATAGTATTCAAAATAATGAATACTTATTGACATGCACGGCCTCATAACAAGATAAAAATACTCACATGCTTAGCAAACCAATTGAAATATTCAAACGTCTTTCCTTTGTTCATGTTTTCTGTAATATTCAAAATAACAACATCCCCGTACATTTTAGACTCTTCCTCCAGCTTATCTTTATTTTCATCTTTTGGCAGTCCCAGGATAAATCTAATCGTTACGGGCGACTTCTCGACTCCAAGATACCGCGCCAGAGCGTCATTACTGTGCGTATACAACTTGCGCAAGCACTCTCTAGTTTCTATTTTCTCATAATAGGTCATAATCCCGATTAAGATCGTTAAGTTCTGGTCCACGCCTGGAGGGGGTTTAGTATAGGTATCATCTGTGATGCGCGATAGTGGGACTGTCGATTCTATGAGCTGAAAGTAGTATGTAAAGTAGTAAAGCAAGTAAAGGCTAAAGCCAAGTATGAAGGAAATGGTACAGTATTTGTAGGCTGCGGCTTTGAACATTTTATGTAAATCAAGTCTCAAAGGAACAATAAATGTGCGTACATGTACAATTATTTATACTGAATTCTTAAAGTAGGAATTATGTGTCACATTATTTAGTTGTGCAGGCTGTGTCGGTAATACCTAAAAGGAGACAGCCAATAACACAATCGATCCTATTAGGATATTTGACTTCATGTATCAACTTATATATGATGATTCTGATCAAACATTGACATACATATTAGAAAACGTAACAAAGCCAAAATTATAACGATAAATTCAATGGTGGTTTTCGAAGTTTAAATGGGTTAGACGTATTGTTATCATATATCGGAATGCCAATAATTTTTGGAATGGTTTAGTATTAGAAAAGCAATAATAATTTTTTTTAGGTTTCAATTCTAAGAAATATACCAGGAACGGAGTTTGTACAACGTACAACGTAGTGTATGTTTACCAAATTCGTGTAACCATAGAACATTTCTCCTACATGCTGCATAATTACATTCTCGATATTGTAAATTTTAAGAACGAATTAGATTTGCATGTAATATAAAATAAGGTAGCTGCGCAACGCTGTCACGCAAAACCAGGAACGGAAGGTTATATTGTAATTTCACAGTTTATTTATTAATATTTGTCAAATAAAGAATCCATTTGTTAAATTTACTGTAAAATTTCAATATTATTGGGTAAGGTCAAACCAATTTGATTTAGTGATTTAAATTACTCTGTTTTGCCATTTAGCAAAAAAAATTTAGAATATATATGACTTTCTGAAAAATTCTGAAAAAAATTGAATAAACAGAAAGATGAGTAAAATTAGGTGATCTTTTTTGGTTGATAAAATTTCTCATATAAGCAATCATTTCCTCTATTTTAATAAAGGAATGTGAATCAATAAATTAAATTGAACTTGTTAGACATGTATATGATTATGCTATTTCTTTATTTTTTATTATTATTTTTTTCGTATTATATCTTTATATTTTTATCTGATTATTTATACAAAAACGTAAATTAGGACAATCATGTGGAAATCATGATAGTATGTATGGTTTTTAAAATAAGAAATTATTTCGAAACAAGGCTAACTTTCTATAATTGCACACGAAAAAAGAATAATGCTCGCACTTGCACTAAGCGTAAACATCAAAAAAAGGTTTACTTGTAAAGGATTAGGTCTCCTTTTGATTGGGTATGAATATCTGATGAATCGCAAACGAAATCTGTGCAAGACTTTGTCGATCATCTGACTAGATCGATCGATATCAGCTTGTATTAAGCTAATTTTAAAGTTAATTAAATTAGTGTTAGATCGGGTTAAAAAAGAATTTAAAATTAAAAGAATATGTCAAAATTATGAAAGGAATTTTCTTAATCGAGCACGAAAGTAGTTTCATAGGCGACATTTTAAGATAGAAAGTTAATTTTGTCGATCATGATCGACAAAACCTGGCACTGATTTATCACTTGCTGACGAATCATTATTGTGGCGAGTAAGCATTATGTCACAGATTCAGTACGTGCTATAACTGTATTAACGATATAAATAGTAGTCAACTGCATCAAAAAAGTAATGTTAACTCGAACAACATTTTGAAGACCTCTTAATATAGCTCTCAATAATTACTTAAAAAATCTTCCAACGGTTTCTTTATTAATTATGGCGTAAGATATGTTTAACGCAATTTTTATAAAATGGTTAGCCAAATAAAATCACCATAAGTCTGCATATATGACACGTGCCAGATAAACAAGATATAAATCAGGATACCATACCATTTAACCATACACTTCATTTCACTCTGTTCCTGGTATAAGCCGCTTTTCCTAATATAGGAGTCGTTAAAGCAAACATACATATTGTCCAAACCGGCACATATTGAATCCGGGACAGGTTATCATTATAGTAAATAAAATCACAAGATCACGTGTAACCAAAAAAATTCGAAGAAACACAGATGACTCAAGATTATACTATGATAGTGTGAGCAGTGGAAATGTGATCCCGGAAGCACGTGGCAGGGTGATCAATGTGGCGCAGTAACGCAATTAACGGTTATGTCTATCATCTACCTAAAATGGGTTTCCCGGGATTATCGGTCGTAAAAGTCGTTTAGCAATTATAAGGGTAATAGTGGTAATAAAGGAAAACTATAAGAAAAGGGATATATTATTTTTAGGGGTTTTAAATAATATCGGACATTAAAAGTGTATACGCTAAATAATAAGTTTAATATGTTTAATAGCTGTAGGAGCGCATAAGTAATATAACAGTATATAATAAAGGCTTCGAGCCCTACATGAGAAGTAGTTTTTTGGTGCTTGCAATACATTTCGATCCAAATAATTTCCTGCTTTCGTGACAATATATTATAAAACCTACGATCATTAACACACCACTCTTCAAATCTAACCACCTCTTATCGACTAAGCCATTCGTAGGTTACACGACGTATCCATCTGTCAAGCGACTGACTCGCCGTTTCGCCTGTGTCAATAGCTAGTTTTACTCCTGAATAAAAGTTTTCAGCACGAAATTTTAGCACCGTGAATACATTTAAATTTCGAATATAAGCAAAAATTAAAGCCTGCACTAGATTCTGATCTTGTGCTTAGTGATCGATATAACCTGTCAGATTCAGTACATGCTATAAATGTATTATCAATAAATACTTAAAAAATGTCTGACGGTTTTTTATTAAATATAAGTAATATAAATGCGGCTTAGTCAATAAACGTGTTTGGATCACCACAAGCCTGCATATAGAACACGTGCAAGATAAACAAGAAATAAATCAGGATACCATACCATTTGGAACCATGACCAATTAAAAGCCCGTATTCGCACACAACATTTTCACTTATGCTTCGTTTCACTCGGGTGGATTTAAACCGAATTATAATTGGGTCACATGATGTAATGCGATATGATGTAATTGGTTAATCGACAATAACCCTGGTTGGCCAAAATAATTTAACTTGTCACGTGAAATGTTAACATTCGATTAAATCAATTCACAATAAAATTATAATACTTCGTAACATGCTTGAAACAAAACAGGATTTAAGGTTTAAAACCGGGTTATCTGAATTTACAACCGGATTAAGATATTGCAAAACCGATTTAATATTAAATCGGATTTTATTAATCGGTTCCGACCTCTACTCACTAATCCTAACTGCATAAAAAATATAACGATAAAACTCACTCTACTTTAGCTGACCACTCTTTCTGGTAAAAGATCTTTAGTTGAAAGAATCTTTTTTAATTCTATAGTACAAAAATTTGCACCAATCATTGCTGTGTTGTTATTGGCACACAACCACCTTTTAAAGCTTCAGAGATCCTTACGGATTTCTAGACTACATATTCATAAAATACCTATTTTTAAATAGAAATCCGTTTTAGAATATCTTAGTATATTGCTGATCATTTCTATATTGCAGATCGGTTAAAGTGGAGCGAATTCAATATATGTTCTACATACTGCATAAATTGCATCCTTGATATCTATTGTCACAGGGATATTAGAGTCGGGACAGCACAACTAGGGAAGGGAGAAATGTGATGAATTGTGCTTTGGAATTGTTGACATCGCATAACATCACTTAAAAGCTTGGTAAGGCAGTTAAAATTTGCACTTGTCAAGGTGACTTTTGGAGCGTTGTAAGGGGATTCGAAATGCAAGTAAGCAGGAAAGAAATGTATGGATTTAGCTTATTTGGTTTGGTTTATTTCTGAGTAGAAGTTAACAATTTTATTTATTATTTCTTAGGGTGGTTTTATTGAGAAGGTTTCAAAGTTACAAGGAAAGAAGGTAGAAAAAGTTACTTACAAAAAGGAAATTTATTCTGTATTTATAATAAATTACAAAAACAAAAAAAAAAAGAAATTTGAACATGGTTTTGACATCCTTTCTCATTGATATAAGTTGTTTTACCTTTTTTTATTAATACCTTTTTTTTCTACAATCCATTTATTGTTTTTTTAGCATTTTTAGTAAACCTTTTATTTCTTTTATAATTACACAAAATTTGCATATAATGATGCATTTACACTGTTACAAACTTATCTGTTAAGATAATATAATCTTGAAGATATATACAAATCAGACAGGTGGTTTTTCAATGTGATTAGTGCTATCAGTAAATAAGAAAACTGAATTTTTTTAAGTTACAGATATTGTAATATAACAATTTTCATAATGTTTTTTATAGATTATCACACAATTGTTTTTTTTTTTTTTTTTTTTTAGTTAAAGTCCCTATCTTGAGAGTTGCAATGTTTTTATTCAAGTATATTAGGACACAGCATGCCACCAAGAGCTCACCTTACATTGGAGGTTACAACTAGCCACATGTACACAATTGTTTTTTATAATCCTAGAGTCAGATTTATTTATAATATTATTTAGCTTACAAATTTTAACTATATCAAGAAGGTAACTTTAAAATATGTTTTAGTTCAACTAATTTGTTTATTATATAAAATATTTAACTAAAATGTAATATGCAAAATTTTGAATCTAATTAAATAACCAATCTCTGTAACTTTATTTGTAATTTCTGTATTTATATACTATATAAATGTTTTTATATCAAGAATATACTTGTATTTTAAAGTGTTTAAAATTTATTGTTTGGTTATTAATTCAAATATTAGCTTTTACTATTTATTGCTATAGCTTTTGATTGTTATATTTTTTAGATTATTACTTGTTTTATATAAGATTTTATTTATATACTCAATTTTGTTATATAGTATTTTATTATTTTATAGAGTTAAATAGTGTGTACAAAATCTTGGAACTAATTGAATA